TGGGGAAATATTTCAGTCGATATTTGGGCAAGGCTTATACATGTGACAAAACAAGATTATGGTTTTTCATCCCCAGATTTGTCTTTCTGAGACTCTGCTGTCCCTGAGGAGAACGAGCAGCTCTGGAGCTGGATGGAACTGGATGTGGATTGGGATTGTGTGGACTCCAGCACCCTCTAATGGTGCCAGCACTGCCTCCCTGTGCGTCCCTAAATCCTCACAAATCCTTTCAAACCGTGTAATAATGAGAACAATTCTGCTGCAAATGGCCAATTTTTCACTCGGTGGCAATTAACAGTTTTGTGCTATTTTAAACAGCTTTAATTGCAATCTGTGCTGTCAGACCCTGTTGCACACTCCATATATCCTGCCCATATTTCCACATTAAATTAGGATAAAATGTTCTAGTGGGGGATGGGACAAATGTAGAAATCGGAGTGAGCAGATGCAGGTGATGACTAAGAGCAAACAACATCCCGTGTGCAGCTTGGCAGGGCTGGTACTTCTGGGTAAGGCAAAAAAAAAGCTGAGAAACCTGACGGGAAAAAGTCAATCCACTTTGGTTTAATATTAATGGGAGGATAATTTTCTAAATCTAACTTTTGTCTGAGAGCTGAAGGAATGTTCAAACAAAGCTCCACCTGCTTCATTAGAGCTCTGCTGATTTACATGAGTATGTTCTAGCAGTTTCCTAATTTACTTTCTCCACTGCAAGGTAGCATCCATGGGTTATGTAGATAAAGGAAAGGTAGAACCATTGTGTGCGTGCACAAACTCCTGTGAAATGCAGGAGTCCCAGTACAGAGCTGCAAAATCCTGCTGAAATAACAAAAATGAGCTTTTCCTGGGGTTTCTGGGAAGGTGTTAATGTGTAAATGTGGTGGCTTATCCCACATAGTGGAGAGTTCTTAATGCTTCTAACAAAAATACAACTTGCTGGTAGGTCAGTGCCAATCCTCAGTGCATGATCCAGCAAAGCTTTGCCTGGCTCCTCTGCACGAGCTGGGGTGCAGCAATTCTGATAGAAAGCCCAAATCTGGTATGATAACATTGAGCATTTTAGATTAGATTTATCTCCTTACCTACAAGTACAGTGAGTGAAAGGCCAAGATGGGATTGAGATAGGGAGGGTTGCTGTGTTTTTCTACAATAAAGGACAAAAACGGGCCAGCCCGGGGGCTCACAAGCTTTTTCAGCTCAGCAGGAGCTCAGGAGCCAGCCAAGGTTGGGTTTAGTTCCCATTTTAGCTCATGGATTATCAATCTTCTTGGATCTCTGTCACTGATAAGCAAATCCACATGTAACCTACCCAGACATAAATTTGTCTGACAATTGGGTCACACCTTCATTTTACATGCCCTGGCTTCAGAGTCGTTTGAAAAGTTGGCTGTGCCCAAGGTTTGGCTCCCTGCAGTTTGCAGGGCTTGTAGCTGACTTTCCCCACAGCTCCAAGGCTCATGTGTTACCAGCTCAAGCAAGATTTGGAAATGAACAGTCAGGAAGTAACTTGTGCAATTTTGGTTTTTGAATCAGAATATAATTTTGAAATTCAGACAGTAACTGCACTGCAAAGACAAACTGCATTTGCCAGTTGTGGTTTTTTTACAGGACAAGACAATTGAGCATTTTCTACCATGAGTGATTTTTTTTAAAGCATTTTCTCACAGGAAAGAGCATCTCATTGAAATTGGTACATGTGGGGTTTTATGCAATTGTTGTAAATACTGGATTTTCTTTCCTGATTTCTACTATTTCCTGATTTATTTTAGCTGGTTTTGGACCAGTGCCAGAGCCATCTTAGCTGCTGTCAGCCTTGGCCTTCAGCTCTTGGGGATGAGTGTTCCCTGGTGCCCAGAGTGCCACTGTGAGTCACCACCGTCTTCCTTTTTTTAATCACCCAACAATAAGGCTCAGTGATGATGAGCTTTATTTAAATTACCCTAAAGCTGCTGGGATTTGGGTTTTTTTCTGCAGTCTGTGGCAGCAGTTTTGAACAGCAGAGTTACACCGTGGCTGCAATCACAGCTTGCTGAACTCTGCAGAAGTGTCCCTGTTGAAGGTTGTGGGAAATGTGTCTTAGCAGGAAACTGTTCATGGTCAGGGTTAAATTTAAAGATAGGGATGTTACTTAGGATTATCCCAGTGTTGTAGTTCCTGTGGAGCCCAATCAAGCTGCACACCCAGAGAGGTTTCTCTCTACCTTTACAATTGGCTGAGGGTCAATTTAGATTTAATATTTACTTTGAATAACCTGTGCAGTGTTGATTTCTGGAAAGGGCACAAGGTGCCTTATCCCACTTATATCTCACTCCAGCTTTTTCAAATGGGGAGCTACCAGCAACACATCCTAAGAATCACAAGATTTAAGGTCACCTGATTGTTTTGTTTCAAAGAGCTGTATTTAGGAATCTCACCTCAGATGAGCTCATGTTTATATAACTAGTGTCACCTGGAAGCTCAGGAAAAAATAATTTTGAGGATGATCCATGTGGACCTTAGAGCACCTAGAAAAACTGGCTGTTGAACAAAAGGAAAAGTCTTAACTTTATTTGCAGAGGCTTTATCTGACGCAGTCTGCTCACTTTTGTCTGTTCCCTTGCTGTCTGTTGGGAAGGTGCCCTCCTTCTTCACAGGAACATCAGGAAAAATGTCCCATGGATGTGCTGTTCATCCCATCTGTCTCAGGAGAGGAGATTCTGTGAGTTGCTTCAGGGAGTGATCTAACAAGAGTGATTTTTAAATCTTACTGATTATAAAATGTATTGCTGGCAAGAATACTCCTCCTCAGCACTTACACTGGGGGGAAGGAGGGAAAGCAAGGGGGCACTCAAATCTTCTTTTCCTAAATCCTCAAAACTTGGAGTGCATGTATTCTAAATCCCCTTCCTGAATCTCCTGGGAGGAGGTTTTTCGTATGTGTGTGTATATATATATAAATAAATTTCTAGTTAAGAGTTACATGCAGCTCAGGCCAATCTATGTCAACCTGTCTGCAGGGCACTTTTGCTACAGCAGGGGCTATCCAAAATCTTGGTTAAGTTCAACCACCCATAAAAAATTAAAACAAGTCACAAAAATTCAGGTTTTATATTAAAGGAAGAATTTTGTAGCCTGGAGAAGAGGATAATACTGATTATAAAGCCTGAGCAGGGTAGAGAAGAGGTTAAGACAGCTGTCACCTCAGTAGTGAACAGATTTTTGAAAAAAACAGAAGTTGTAGATTATATCCATCTTAAAATATTGAGAGAACTAAATATGGAATTACAGGTGTGGTCTGAGGATTTGTGGGTGATGTCTTAATTCATTGATCTGGGCAGGAGAATGGCAAATGTGGTGCCTGTAACCAAAAAGAGAAAAGGGATGGTAGAGGCAGCACAGCTCTGAGTGTGATCCCATTAAAGGAAGTTTTAGAACAAATTCTGAGGGGAAAAAACCTTACTGAACAAAGAGGTGACCAGAAAGTGTCACAAATTACACCAGGGGTTTGTCAGAAGAACATTCTGTCAGATCATTTATTCTCTTGATGAGAAAACTAATTTCCTTAGCAGACGTGTTAGAGTGGAGCTAATTACCTGGAGCTGCAGCTCAAATCACTGAGAGTGGGAATGAGGAGATTCTTACCAGAATTCAGAGTGGGTTGTGGAGCAGTATGGGGCAAGGGGGTTCTTTTTGTTTTCTTTTTTGTACATAAAATGCCACGTTGGAGAAGGCACTCCTTTTGTTCCACGAGTTGTCTGGAATCTGATCCTCCCATGGGTATTCCATAGTAATAAGGGAATATCACATATATCTTCACGTGTAGGTTTGTGTGTGTTTATTTGTTTATTTATTTATTTACATACTCCTAGGTGCGTGCTGAGGGAATTGAAGGCAATGCCAAGCTCCTGTCTGTGCAGAGGGGAACAGCGCTCCAGGATCCCGGGATGGGGCGGGATGGCGGCACCACAGCGGGTCCGCCCGGTGCCACCTCCGTGTCCCGGCGCAGGGCACAGGGCACAGGGCACAGGGCACAGGATGGTGTCCAGACAGCTCCGGGGTATCCCCAGGAGGAGACCCCACAGCCTCTCTGCTCAGGCTGGGCGCTGCCCAGGGAATCTCTTCCTCACATCCAGCTGAAACTCCTGAGCATCAGTTCCTCTGGTGCCCCCGGAGCAGAGCCTGCTGCACGCTCTGACACCTTTTAGACATTTATGGATGAGCCGTCTCCTCCCGAGGCTGCTGAGCCCCATCTCCCTCAGCCTTCCCCTCAGAGAGGCTCCAGCCCCGCCATCACCGCGGCAGCCCCGGGTGCGCTGACAGCGCCGCAGGTGTGCCCCACAGGGCTGAGCAGGGCGCCAGCAGCACGTCCCGCCGCCCGCAGCAGCTCGCAGGGCGGGCGGGCTGTGAGGGGACAGCGCGACCGGAGCGCGGCTTCCCCAGCACGGCTCCCTCAGCTCGGCTCAGCGCGGCTCCCTCATCGCATCGCCCTCAGCGCGGCTCCCTCAGCTCAGCCCGGCTCCCTCAGCGCGGCTCCCTCAGCCGGGCCCGCCCGCCCCGCCAGGGGGCGCCGCCGCGCGCAGGCCGCGCAGCCGAGCGCCGAGCGCACCGGGCCGGGCCGCGCAGCCGCGCGAGATGCGCGGCGCTGAGGGCGGCGGGATGGCGCTGTGGCGGGGGCTGCGCTGCTGCCGCCGCGCCTTCGCTTGGCTGCCCGTGCTGCTCATCGCGCTGCTCCTGCTCTGGTCCTACTACGGATACGTCTGCGAGCTCTGCCTCGGTGAGCGCCCCCGCGGGGCCCGCCCGCCCCAGGCCGTGCCTCGGCGTCGCCGGGGCCCCCGCGGAGTTGCGGGCGGGGGGCGCGGCGGGCCGGGGGCTTCGGCCGTTCCCCTTCTCCTCTTCCTCCTCCTCCTCCTCTTCCTCTCCTTCTCCTCTTCCCCGCCTTCTCCTCTCCCCCTCTTCCTTCTCTTCCTCGCCTTCTCCCCTTCTTCCTCGTTCTCATCCTCTCTTCCTCCTCCTCCCCCCGGTCCGCGCTGTGAGCGGGGCCCCGCGCCCGCCGCGGTGTCCGAGGCTCGGAGCCCGGCCGCGATCCGTGCGCAGGACAGACGCCTCAGTCCGAGTCTTGCTGGGGTTATGGGGTTTGGGGGTCTGCCCTGTTCTCCGCAGGGTTCATGCCCCACCGGGCTGGGGGTGCTGCTGTTAGCCACGAGCCCGTGTTCTCTGCGTCCCTGGCAGCAGGGAGGTGGCGTTTGAGAGGGTTGGGAGGGTGATCCCACTCTGAAAGCCAGCGCTGTTGTCATTTGATAACGTCCAGATGTGATTTATGAGCTAAATAGTAACAAACATCAGTCTGTGCCCTGCCTTACAATCGTTTTATGTTTATATTCTGAAAAGGAAAGAAATAGGTTGAATGGGATCGCACTCAGGCATGGAGTTGTTACAGTAGCACGGAAAACACTGCATTTTGGAAGAGGAAGTTTTATGCTGGCTAGTAATTGTATATTTAACCCAGCAATTTAACTGTATAGTAAGTTGTAAACTTCCCTATGTTTTTTATTTCTGGTTTAGTGTGCTACTAGAAAAAAAGAGTTGCCAATTCTTGTGCAGAGAAGAGCTGGAAGCTTGGATTTGTGAAATTGTGAGAAGGAAATGTGGCTCCTCAGGACAGAGTGAGGCAGATAAACGGAGCCAGAGGTCCCAGAAAGGATAGTCTGAGATGGTCCTGGGGCCCGAGCTGCCTTCTGGTGCTGCACAGCAAACATAAATCAGGTGTTTGTTAGGGTTGGCAGTGCAGTGAGATCTGCTGTTTTTTTCTCAACGGGAGCTAGAATGAAATGCAGCTTCTGTGGTCTGTTTTAATCAGCAGCTTGGCAAAGTCCCCAAACACTTCATCACATTTATCCCATCTCTGAGACTGTGGGCTGTTTCCTTCGAGAATTCACATAGGATGATATCTCTGAGGTGCATGTAACTGTCATTAGAACATGTGACAAAAAACGTGGAGCATTTTTCTGAAGCGCTGTCAGTCTTTTGAAATGTGCTGTGCAAATTCAGTCCTACTGAGCACGGGCTGATGCCAGGTCTCAGTGCAGCTGCTGGAGGAGGCTCAGGTGATCTGAGTGAGGTTTCAATTTGGGCCGTGCTGCTCTGCAAGTGCTGGTTCAGTTGGCAGAATCTCAGCTTGCTGTGTGGAATCACAGCTTAAATTCATTCATTTGCCCACACCCACCTGGTTTTTTTTGCCCCGTTTCTCTCTCATCTCCTTTATTTGCCTGTGGAGGAGTTTATCCATGCAGAAGTTGAAATTACTGAATTATTTCAGGATTTGAGCATGAACTGTTGGCCTGTGCTGTTACTTGCCAAGCAGCATGTTGTCTCTCTCCACATTTCTAACGCAGCAAGGCTTGCTGAGCTGGCTGCCTCTTCTCAGCTGCTGGGAGCCTGTAAATAGTGAGTGCTTTGTCTGGAATCTTGTTTGCATTTTCAGCTGTGCCGAGTGCTGGAAGTGCTGTGGGGGTGATGTCTGGGAGGCATCTCTTGATGCTGGGTTTGAGCTCTCAGTGCTGGGGTGGCCAGTGAGTCACAGGAGGGAACCTCAGTTCTTGTTTGGCTGGTGGTTGCTGCCAGGCTGACAACAATGATCCTGCCACAGGAACTTTTATATCGCTGTGTTTGTGCTCTTGTCTCAGGTAAATCCTTAGCCAGGCCCTGCTGCAGGTGTGGTCAGGAGGGAGCCAGGCAGTGCTTGTGAAAAGCTCATCATAACTTGTTTGACAGCAAACCAAAGGAGAAACTAAAGTTTTCCTAACAATCTTGTTTACCTGAAATTGAGACACAGCAAAGATTCAGTTTCTTTTTACATCTACATTGATGTGTGTCACAGAGCTTTGTTTTCCAAGCAATGCTCTATCAAAATATCACAGAACTCCCTGTTTGCAGTTCAAAGAAAAGGTCCTTGTCTCTTCTGTTAAACTTGGATGCTGGCTTTTAAAATAACAGATGGATTTTCAAATAGTCACTACGAGAAGGCATTGAACAATGCACCTTTTGCTGGTTGCTCAGAGGGCTTCTGTTAGTTGGGGCTTTTCTCTCATTATGGTGAAGTAAGAAGGGGTTGTAAAATTTCTGCTGGTAGGTAGTGTAAAAAAATTAAGTCATTACAATTGCTGACTTGGTCAAAGCTGAGAAATTGAGAACTTTTTAATCCTGCAGATGCAGAAATGCTTTGGGACAGTGCTTACAGTGGAGGGTCAAGACCACCTGGAGGCCAGCAGAAAGCAGCTGCAAGTATGTGGTGAATGCAGAGAGATGCAGCTTGGACAGGTGCTAGAGGAGGCCTGGTGATCTTCTCACTGTCACTGAGGATTGCTTTTATCATATTTCTAATGCAAAATATACAGAATATATTCTATAAGCAGGGAAAACACAGCACAAGGAAGAGTGACTGAACATCTTGCTGTGGGTGTGTGCGTGAGTGAAGAAGAGTTGTTATGGATGCTTTAGGTTTGATGCTGAACTGTGGGCTCTCTCTTTGCCTCTTGAATTTGAACATTTTTCCTAAAATGGCTGTATTTCACACAGAAATGTTAATTCTCACAAACTTCTCTGGGATTTATATTTCCTCTGTGGACACATGTTTTTTTTTCTTTTCCAGTGACTGTGAGCAACCCTGTGGAGAAAGGTATGTGTGATAATTTATTATTTGCCATTCAACCCTTGTGTAAAAGGACTCACAAATGTTCTGGCTGAGATATCAGAAATCTTTGCTGTCATTTTTTTAAAGATACATCCTCTTTCAGTGTTTCCTTCCTGTGACTGCACCCTCCTGAGGTCCTGAGCATGCTGCACCTCCTGGGTGCACTGGGAAATGCTCTGTTTAGCCACAGTCTGGGCAGAACATGGAAAGGCTCTGATCCCTCTGACTCTTTCAGGAAAAGCTGTGTGTGTCTAAGCACACCCACACCCCTCTTCTCCCTTTCCCTTTCACATTTCCAGAGCTGATTTTACAAGCCAAACAGAAAACACTAGTTCCCATCTGCAGCCCACCTGGCTTTTTTTGCTGTTCCATTTGATCTTTCAGTGAAAGCTATTTTGGATAAGCTTTCTCTCTCAGCTCTGGTGCCCACTGACAGATCCTGAGTCACAGCACAGTAGGATTGCTCAGTGACACTCTTCAGACCGGTGTGTTGGTGGAGGTAATGGCCATGTGCTAAGAATAAGGAGTCAGTGGCTGGTTTAATATTTTTCTCCTTTCCTGGAGGTGCTTTGGATGCTTTTGGCTAATCCAGGTGTTCTCTTGGTGACTTTCTTCTTTAGGGGCTATGAAGGACAGAAGTAGGTGTAGTGTAAGCTGTTCCATGAAGAGCAGTGCCAGCTGACATTTCAAGATTATCCAGTAAATTCTCTTTCCCCTGTAGAGCAGTTCCAATTTTTGAAATTGCTACAGAGAAGCTGCAGAAAGCAGGATGTTGATGACTACTTAGCAGAAGAAAGTTAATTGTTGCCTAATCTGTTAGTGAATCTCCAGGTTAGCTTCCTTTAATGTGCTGATAGGCTGATCAACAAAATTAAACCTGTTGCAAGATTTATCTCCTTCCATATTAATTAAAAATGGCTCAGCTCCACCTGTAGTGTGAGGATAACATCTCAAACCAGCTTGGAGCATAAGAATGACTTAGCTGTGATTCACAGCTCCTTCCCACAGTCCATCACATCCTTGTGAGATGTGTCCCATCATTTCCCATCTCTTTAGAAAGTCTCACTGATGCATTTGACCTTTTTTACCAGTTTTCACACAGGAAAAGAAGTGTTTTGACATAGTTAAGAAGTGTTTGAATTTTAGATTTCTCTTTCCAACTAGTTCTTTTAATCTTATTTTCTAGAATTTGAAGCTTAAATGAAATGGGGGAATGAGATTGTTATTGCAATGAAATGATGTGTTTAAATAAAACTAACATGTAACTTTGATAATGCCTTAATGAGTTGAGTGTTAAAGCAGTCTGTGCAGCTGAAGGACAGCTCCTTTGGCTCCCTGTCCATGGAATGCCTGCTAATGCCAAAGGTTCTGGAATCAAGTTTGCACTTTGAAGTAAGACTGTTCTGACACTGGCTGGTCTGCAATTTTTCCTCAGTAATTTGAAACCCTATTTTGCTCAAATTGAGGAAAATTTTCCTGATTTATTGTATCAACTGTGGCAAATGTAAAAGGTGTTTAATAAGAAATTTGGCTTTTTCTGGTGATGTAAAGGTTATATTATTTCCCTCTGCTCTTACAAGAAGAATGCAGGGCAAGAGTGGGCAGTGCACACTCTGCTTCCCACTGCTTTTAGTAACAACTGAACCCAAATACTGGGAGGTCAAAATTCACCTTTACACTGCTCAGCAGCAGCCAGTTCTGCTGGATTTGTGCCTGGGATATGGGGAAGAGACAGGAATCCTGTCCTTCCCAGGGATATGGGGTTGTCACCTGCCCTGTGGGACAATTCTCTGACAGCTGCATCTTCCTCACCCACAGAATGGGATCAGGTGGAGCAGGGGAGGCTCTGAGATTGGTCTCTCCTGAGCTCTGGATGCTGCTGACCCTGAGCCATAAGGTTTAGCTGGACTGCAATAATGGGTGGCACTGGATGGACATCTGTCTTTTCCTTCTTCTTTTTTTTTTTTTTTTTTGACATTGTTGTAAAAATTTTTAATTATGCCCATCATGGATGAAACCTTTCCTTAAGAAGTCATTACTCTGTTTGTTTTTTTCTTTTCTTGTTTTGTTTCTAGTGGCCTATCTTGTAGTATTCCATATTCTCTTTGTGCTCTTTGTGTGGACGTATTGGAAGTCTGTTTTCACTCTCCCAATACAACCAGGCAAAAAGGTAAGAGAGCCAAAACCTTTCATTCCTTGCAAAACAAAAGAACAGATGTTAAAGAGAACTCAAAAATCCTTCAGTCTAGTTGATCTGAAGAGGAGAGTCATAGGCAAATGTGTCTTAATTCTTTTCAACCCAATATTTACTTTGTCATGTTGCTTGGATTACTAGATTTACATTTTTTTCATATTTTGTTTTACCTCTCTATGAAATACTAATGGAACACTCAGATTGAGGCAACAAAATGAGGTCAGTATTTGTGTGGCACTCCTAATATACTCAGGCTTGCTCTGACCCTGATTACAAGAATGTAAATATATAAATTTACATTTATAAATAACAGCTAATCCCAGTTTTAAACATTTGAAAATATAAAGGTTCTTGCTCACTAGAGAGATACTGAATGTGTTATAAAGGAGAGTAATGGTATTCATTGAGGGCAGCAATAGGAGCAATTCTAGTAAGTTGTTTTATGAGCCTTAATTTCACTTTTTCATTTCTTATTGCTGGGTCTCTCAGTATTCTGCCTCTCCAGCACTCACTACCTCCCTTTGTTTTCTTAACAACCACATTTTCCCACTGCATTAGCCTCAGGGGTGGGAGGTAGAAACGTTTCCAAGCTGACCCGTGTTTGAGCTGCTCTCTGCTCCGTGGCTGACAGCTGCTCTGGTGCCTTTGCTTGCAGTTCCACATGTCCTACGCTGACCAGGAGCGCTACGAGAACGAGGAGCGGCCCGAGGTGCAGCGGCAGATCCTCGCCGAGATCGCCAGGAAGCTGCCGGTGTACACCAGGACAGGGAGTGGAGGTCAGCTCAGCACGGAGCCCAGGCCCACACACACACCCCCCAGCAGGCAGCCTGGCCCCCAGGGCATCCTGCTGACCAACAGCAGCCCAGGCACACACTTACTGTAAATGCAGGCGAACCCAGTGGGAAGAAATGACAATGCCTGACTTAATCCAGAAGGCTGAATTATTTCTTTATTATAACTATACTAAAATACATTAATATACTATATAAAAGCAGGATATTAAAACTACACACTATTTTCTCTGACCCTCTCTTGAGAGTCCAGCCCCAGGTGGGTTGGATTGGCCATCAGGCTCAAACAATCCTCACCAGAATCCAATCAAGCACTCACTCCAGGTAAACAATTCTCCAAACACCTTCCCCATAGGAAAACCAGAAATTGTTTCCTCTTTCATTTCTCTCTGTGCACCTCTATGAAAAATCCTGAGAGGGAGAGAAATGTGCTTGCCACACCCACTGACTCCTGCTCTCCTTTGCTCGCAGGGAAAACAAAAAAAGCCTTGAGCTCTCTAATTCAGTGCAGTTCCAGGTGCTGCCTTTTAGAAGCAAGATGTTACCCTTTGGATTTACAGTCTGAAAGCCCTCATGTGCTGTCTGTATTTAGAAATAGTAATAGAATAATCAAATCTGTCATAATTTTTACTTAAAATGGAGTCTGGCTTAGAGATGCAGGACATACTTCTGTGACTAGTTTTCTGGACCGTGTTTAGTGATTAAATGCCTGCTGCACTCCTTTCACAGCTTAAAGACATCTGTGTTCATATTGGAGGCTCTGACCTGCTCATTTCTGTCAGGCAAGCCAAAGAATTTTGAAGCAGAGAACTGGATTAAAAAGGGAATTATCAAAATGAAGTGTAGGTAGTAAATGTGGATGCAAGCATACAGCTTTGGTTTGTCACTTTTGAGCTGGCTCTATGGGTTAGGGTAGGTTTGGGATAGATGTTAGGAAGGAATTCCTTCCTGTGAGAGTAGTGAGGCCCTAGCACAGGTTCACAGAGGAGCTGTGGCTGACCCTGGATCCCTGGAAGTGTCCAAGGCCAGGCTGGACAGGGCTTGGAGCAACCTGGGATAGTGGGAAGTGTCCTTGCCCATGGCAGGGGGTGGAACAAGATGAACTTTAGAGTCCCTGCCAACCCAAAGCATTCCATGAGTCTATGATTTTATGCTTTCACTGATTGCTGCCCCATCTGCAAGTCTCCATCAGAACTATGAGTGTTGCTCAGCTGATTGTGACCTGCAGCAAACACCAGGTCACATGCTGAAGTGAGAGAGGAAAGAAAAAGAATAGTTAGGAAATGAGCACAGTCTCAACTAATGCATGAAAAGTAAAGCACTTTTCCATTGTCTTGTGTTAATTTGTCTCTGATTCCAGGGATTCGGTTCTGTGACAGATGCCAGCTGATCAAACCTGATCGTTGTCACCATTGCTCTGTTTGTGCCATGTAAGTCACGGGTTGTCCTTCACCCAAGTCAGTCACCACAAGGTTTTGGGAGTGGGCTGCCCCTTCATCTTTTTACACAAAGGGGTTCCACAGGGTCTGTTCCAGCTTCAGCCAGCAGTGCTCTAGGGCAGAAATCATTTTTGTGTCTCTTTATCAACACAAGATCCTTGAAGACCTAGTGGGTCTTCAAACACTAAGAACTGTTCCATCTTAAAATTATATCTACCTTAAAAAACTTAAGAGACAGCATCAATTTGAGAATCTGTTGTATAGAAACCTCACAAAAATCAAAGTTTTGCTGTTGATCTGCAGCTGGTAATGAAGTACCAACTAAAATCTTCCATTTTTCTTTTTTGTCCTTTTGCAGGTGTGTGCTAAAAATGGATCATCACTGTCCATGGTATGTCCTAGATATTGGTTTGTGGTTTTCTGAAAAGAAAGGCTACTTAGATATATTTCTGTATGCCTCTCATGTCTGTATGCCTCTCACATTTTAGGCCATCCATCTCTTTAGTTTGGGACACTTATAAAATAATTGCACTTTGAAATTGCCTGAAATTAAATTTTAACAAATCATTCACATTTTCTCCATAACCCATGTGTAAAAATGCTATTACATTGACAAAATTTAAACCCCAACTGCTAATTCACTCATTAACTACTATTCAAATTTGAAAGGAACTCTAGCTTAGCCTTTCCTTTGGGCTCTCAGTGTTTCAGCTGCACTTGGGGTGCTTCCAATAACAACACTTGCATGTGGATTGTTTCTGGACTGGTGCTGGTCAGAGACAGTCCATGCAGAAAGCTGCATGGAATAAATGAGCTTTACACCTTTCAGAATTGCTGCCACTACATTTCTTAAATTCCTCTTTTTCTTTAAAGAAAAAAAGGAAGATTTAAGAATTCAGAAACAACACCAAACATTTCCCTACCTGAACCTTCCTGGTGATCAAAATTGTAGAGGATTTTCCAAGCCTGAGTTCTGACACAAACACCCACTGGGGTTTTTTGTACATCTCCGTGTTCCTTTCTAGAGCTGTCCTGTGCAGGGAGAATTCTCACTAAGTGTGGGGTTAATTGGGCTGTATGTAAGCAAACAGGCAGGGGTGAGGCGGCTCCTGAGGTTTGCAAAGGAATAAAGCAGCACAGAACTCCCAGCTCCGATTTCCTCGGCAGACATGACGCAGACAGGAGGAGCGAGCTGCTGCCTTTGGGATCCATTTACCTGCGGCACCAGCCTTAAAACAATTCCAGCACTCTGAGCTGTGCTTCTCCTCGGCCCACGGGAAGGGTTGGAGTGAAAAGCAGAGCCGCCAGCTCTGTTCCCTTTCGGCCACTGAGGGGAGCTGCTCATTGGCAAATTCGGTTGTGTGATCCAGGGCTTTCAACCCCCTAGAACTGCTCGTGCTCTTTATGTTACAACCACTGTGTGCTGCACCAATCCTGATTTCAACTTTGCTTTTGTCCTCCAGGGTGAATAACTGCATTGGATTTTCTAACTACAAATTCTTTCTACTGTTCTTAGCCTATTCTTTGTTGTATTGCTTGTATATTGCTGCAACAGTCTTCAAGTATTTCATTAAGTATTGGACAGTAAGTCATGAAATCCAGTTACTTTTTCATCTCCTGTCAGTCTCGTGGGCTTTAGTGACTCTCGGGGCTTTGTTGCTCTCAGGCAGTGGAGGGGCTGCGTTTTCCTGGGAGGTGTTTCCTGGGCCCTTTGGGAGTCCACCTCCTGGTAGATGTCCAAAATGCACTGAGCAGCAAGGAATTTCAGGCTGTAGATGATTTTCTGGCAGAGGGGTTCTATCCCTTCCCTGTCCTTGTGTTTGCCTGGGTGTCCCTTGGAAAGTTTGGCATTGATGTGTAAGATCCTGGCAATGATGTGTACATATTTACTGAATAGGAAAAATGGGTCAAAACCCCTTGTTCATTTTCTAAGTCCCATAGGCCTCCTTTTTCAATTTAATAACCCAAAGGAGGCCTTTATACAGTTACTGCTGGTTGTTTCTATGCAAGCAAGAGCAGCTGACAGCTCCAGTAAGACACTGGCCCTTGGTCCCTAGTTCTGTCCCCTCTGCTCAATAACTCTGTATGTTTGTGTTTAAGTACCTTTGCTGTGCACCAGTTGTTCCCACGCTCAGCCGTGCTCAAGGCACAGCCGTGAGCCCGGGAAGTCCCCAGAGCCTGCCTGTGTCACTGCTGGGCACTTCTGGCACCTGGCTCTTCTGCTGCCGAGGGAAAGGAGCCTTTCTTCTGCTTGGAACATCCCACTTTGCTGTTAAACTTTCCCCATCCATCTGTGCTCCGTTCTAACACTCCCCAGTAGCTGCAGATGTGGTGGGCACGTTTCTCTGCGCTTACCTTGAGCAAGGTGCAGAATTTTAATGTATGCACAGGAAACTCAGCAGAACTTAAAACAGGGCTTCAAGAGCCCCTGCCTGTTAATTTCCCACAGGCACAGGGTGCTCTTCATGCCCACCTGGACAGCTGTGATGGGCTGGCTCAGAGCCATATAAGGGTTAATAACACCCCCACTCTTTGTGCTGTGGTACAGGAGGGGAAATGAACCACATTCATTTCTTTGTCTCTTTTTCCTTTATATAGTAATGTTCACTCTTGTCTGTAAAAGTTTGAGAACTCCCAATAGGAGTTTTAGAATTATATTTCTAAGTACAAATAATTTCCATCTTTAATTTGTTCCTATTGCTTTCCTTTCCAGGGTGAGCTGACCAATGGACGTTCCAAATTTCACATCCTTTTCCTTCTCTTTGTGGCGATCATGTTCTTTGTAAGCCTCATGTTTCTGTTTGGCTACCACTGCTGGCTCGTCAGCAGGAACAGATCCACTCTAGGTAAGGCCCTTCTGTCTCTTCCTTCTAGTAAGGCACACCAAAGGTGCTGTAAGAAGGAAAAAAGAGAAGAAAAAAGGCATTTGTTCTATTTCTGTACATTCCCGCTGGTTTTATGAGGTGAGGAAGACTTAAGATGTTGGTACAAGCTGCAGAAAATTGTCACTGCAAATGAGCTGCATTTATTAGCTGGTGTGACGAAAGCTTTGTTAGGGAAACCAAAGCCTTAAAGTGTAGAAGTCCAATTATAAATGTGTTATGCATATGTAAAACTACATTTGCTGTGAAATGAGTACAGCTTTTGAGGAGTGATGGTTTGTTATGCTCCTGTGCTGGAGTGCACCCCTATCAGCTTGGTGAGCTTGGGAAACCCAGTGTCCATCTTTACTGATAAAGGCAATGAAGTTGTGACTGTAAAATCAAAGAAATTATCATCTAAAATTGTATGATTTTGCCAAAATTTCTTTGCCTTTCCTCAGATAAATGTTCAACTTTCAAAGCTTTTGGGATAAAGTTTTGTAACAAAACAGACACTATCGAGAGTGAGCAAATATTCTGATTATATCAAGTTATTTACTTCAAAAGTAATTTCATGGGGCACTGAAGCTCATCTATCCCAAAACATCAGACCTGTGCAGCAGCTGAAAAGGGAGATCAAACTGTTCCTAAGACACTCAAGGCTCTTCTCTCCTTTTCTTAATTTTATGCCCCACCAGAGCCAGAGTTTATTTGCATTTGTTTGTCCCTTTTCATTATGACATTAACAAACGAGGTGATTTAAATCTGCAGTGCCACTTCCGGAATATGCACTGAACACCAACCTACTTCATTCTGCAGAGTTTTTTACCTAGAAACTTTTCCCCTCTGAATTTCATCAAGTCCCACAGGAATATATTTTAACTGCATTCTCTGGATGAATTGTGGGTTGGTGTGACTGTTCTCTAGCTTCAGTTGCACAACCAAATTCCTGCCTTCAGTTGGAAAGTCTTTATAGGCTTTGCAAAATAGGGAGAATCATTATTTTGAAACTTTGTACTGATAGATCTTTATAATCTGTTAAATCATGTTGTCTTTAGATGGTTAGAAGATGCACAACCCTGTTTCACAGTGTTTGCTATTGATTTTCATTTTTTTCCACTGAAATTGCCTCTGTTTGCAGAGGCTTTCTCAGCTCCAGTTTTTCAAAATGGCCCAGATAAAAATGGATTCAATCTTGGCTTTGTGAAGAATCTCCAGCAAGTGTTTGGGGAAGAAAAAAAGCTCTGGTTGCTGCCTATTGCCTCTAGGTAAGTAGCCCTACTAAAAGCTAAAGTGGTGGAAGCTGATGGGATTACAGTTTTTCACATTTTGTGTCCAGGTTTAGGTCACAGGAAAGTGGGGGGTTTTGTGTCTTTCAGTAAGAGTGGGGCCATTTTCTACCGAGTGTCAGTCAAACAAAAGTGAGATTTCTGCCCTGAAGAATCTGGGAAAAATTGATAAAATTTATACCTATTAATTGCTTTGTTTTCATAAATGTTTTCCCCAGTTCCTCTGTCACTTTTAACTGCCCACAAGTTAGTTTTTCCAGGGCTTTTTTCCTGTATTCAAATTACTTGATCAAATTAGCACATTTACCTTCTGCTAAAAATTACTTGATTCCAGGCCACAAGTTTCAACTTTTGTACTCCAGACACCTTGAAAAAATTGAGAACCAAAATGAAACATAAACCTGGTACTTTTCAAGCTTAAAGATGATTTTAAATAAACATGGGAAATACAGACAACAGAAAATTTTGCAGAAAAAACGTAGAGAAATTGTCATCTTTTAGAGTCACTTGCTGCTTTTGCAGTGTCCCTCTCTGCCTTTTTCCATGCAGCCAGGGGGATGGACATTTTTTCCCAATGAGAGCCTTGAGTGAAGCTCGGAACCCTCTCCTGACAAATGAGGAGCAGTGGGAAGAGGATGGACTAGACGAAGAGCCTCAGGGTAAGGAATTAGTGAAATTACTTTCCTGACCTACAGTGGCCAATAAATGAACTATAAGAGCTAATCAAATAAAAAAACCTGTGTTGGTTAAGTCCCTGGGCAGCTCAGACTTGATTAATGAGCCTGGACTAAAACTAAGCTCTGCTTTGGAAACAATTCTTTCTCTTTTTTTAGCAACTTTCTACTTGTAGGTGGATGAACTTAAAAGATCAAGGGTTAGAGAAACTGAAGCTGGCACAGACTGAGAGTATTTACATGTAAATGTTGCTGCATGCAGCCCAGTTTTTTGGGATGTAAAGTGGTGCCCACAAGAAGGAGAATACTTAGATTTTTTAAAGTGTATTTATCCTCTGAGAGTGTGTGAAATCAGGCATGCAAACACCTGAGTGCAGGGATATATTTAGGAAGCTGCTTTATACTTTGTCCAGCTTTATTTCCAGAGTAAATTTACCTGCTCTCCCTGGATGCTTCTATACATTTTGGTACTTACACAAGGTAACACAAATGAGTTTTAAAACCAACAAAAATTGGCTTTAAAATAGCAAACTATGGCACTTCTGTGAATTTTTAATGATGCTTAAAATAACTCCTTTAGGAATGAGTCAGAGCTTCTTCCAGTTTTTACAAACTTTAAATTCTCTGAATAAATAATTAATTCTTCCATATGAAAACGGTTCCAGTGAGGTGATTTTTGGCTAGATCAGCCTCCAGGTTATGGTCTGGAGCTTATATGAAGCCTCCCAATTTATAATGCTTATAAAATAACTGACATTTCCAGGCAGTTGAACTGGATGATCACTGTGGGTCCTTTCAACTGAAATATTCAGATTCTCTCTTACACAAGAGAGGTTAACCAGTAAAAATATCTAACCAGAAAGATCTGAAATGTTCCATTAAAATTGCAAGACCTTTATTTGTCCTTGTGGCTTTAAAGCTTGTGACTTGGTTATGAAATAAATGAAGCAAATAATAGAGTAATCTCAGTTAAAAGCAGCTGTTCACTTCTTTCTGACAAGTGGTTGTCTATTTTTTTTTTTTTTGTAAGTATCCTTAAAAACACAATCCCATGCTTAGTGAAAAATATATTCTCAGTGGGAAAACCAGATTTATTTGCCTCTAACTGCTTTGGCTTTCACAGGTTCTGGTGAGGCCTCATCCCTTGCCATAGAAAGAGAGACATAGCAGTGTGAAAACACAGTGGTGTAAAGCTGGATCAGAAAGGTCAGTGTTTCTTTCTTTATTTCCCTCAAAACCACTGCTCTGCAGGGAGTGGGGAGGTGATGTGGAGCAGGTTTGGACTTTAGCAGAAAAACATTTCTGCAGCTTGCCCAGAAATCCCTTGTTCAAGGGGCTCTGGAAGGAAGCAGCGGCTCTCAGAGGCCCTGGGCTGGTGTGGCACCGGTGACAGCAGAGCCACCAGCACTCTGAAGGGGAGGACACCCACCCTGCAGCTCCCCTGGAAAACATGACTTGGACAGGGGCAAGATGGAAATCCTGGGATCCCTGGGAGGTGTGGGAATGTGCAGGTGAGGTGTTAAACTGAAGATGAGCACAGCCAAGTTGCAGCTGGGGATACAAAGGAGGTGCCTTGTACTGTCACATCAGCTGTCACTCTTCTCCAGGCTTTTTCTGCCCCTGGGAAAGGTGGGTGCCACCTTTCCAGCTGGGGCAGGTGCTGCTTCCAGAACATTCCTGCTCTGCCTCCTGCTCTGGCTTGGAAAACAGGAACAGTGCTGGCCCCACACAGTCCTGTTGTCCCAGGGGAAGGGAACTGATTCCAGCAGCATCCTCTGCTGTCCCACTGGCAGGAGGTGGAATTGCCAGGTGGAGTTTGCCCCTCTCAGCTCCAGGCAGTCAATATCTGTGGTGTGGCAGAGCCCTGCAATCCCTGCCTGGCTCCCCTGGCACACAGGGCCCCTCCACACTGCTAGCAGAGCTTCTGGCACGGTGTAAGAGTCTACCTTGTTCCACTAAGAAAAGCCCCAGAGTGTTTTTCTGTCAGCAGTGCGGGCTGCATCCTGCCATCCCACCAGGGCAGGCAAAATTAGCATTTTCCTGTTCTTCATGGCTTTAAAGTGACTCCCAAAGCCCAGATAAGCCCTCAATCCCTCATAGCAGCAGTGCTATGGTTGCACATTTGCATTTCTTTAAATTTCAGCTTCCCTCTCAGGAGCCAACATCCCTTCTCTTGGCAAGGACTTCAGTTTTGAGGAGCAGAAAACTGGTGGATCTTCAAGATGAGAAAACATCCTGAAGTATTGTCTGATGGGAACCTGCATTCCAGAGTGCTTCTCCAGGAATCCTGCTGTCCAGATGTCCCAAGGCTTTATAAATTTCAGTTACAGAGTTAACAGAACAATTTTACAGAGTGATTCTGGCCAATCTTCTTTGGCCTGCTCTCTTTATTTTATAAATACTATATATTTTTTATTCAAAATAGGTAAAAATGTTGATGCAAGTGCATTTCCAAAGGCCTTTTCATTTTGCAAACATCAGGGACTCGAGCTCTTGAAATTCTTCCAAGCCATAATATTCTTGGGGATTTATTTTGAGGCTGATTCTCCAACCTTCTCTGACAAGTGGCATTTTCTAATGTATTTAAATTCTGAGTCAGTTCAGCTCAATGCAAGACAGACCCCATTAAATCTGGCACTAAATTGGTAGCTGAATGTAAGAGTGTTGAAAGCAAAAGTGCTGAACATGCACATGTACATGTGCAGCTGTGAATGAAAATAAAATATTCACATTGGCAGTATCAAGATTCAAGAATATTGTGGCCATAGATTATTTAAACATTTTTAGGGGGGTGTTATTTTCTTTGCGTTTGGGTTATAGTGCTCTTGCATCCTACTTGCAGGCTCCTAAAATGCAAAAGGGAACTTCAGACAGTCCAGTTGGCATTAATTCCTAGGGCTAAAGTATTATCTCATTCCTGGATCAGTGTTTGATGGAGATTTGTGTGTTCATGGAGTCAGAAGGGAAGATGTGACTTTGAAACGTGCACTGAAAGTTTGGCTCCAGGAGTCATGCTTGGAGTTTACACTCCACCGGGGTGGCTTGAACCCCAAAATGCTGAAGACACAATTGATACATTGAATTTTTTCAGACTTCTTCCCAGCTCAGTGCACTGACTGGCTTCAGGGGTTTCTGCACTAAGAGGTGATCTGATTTGTTTCTGCATTTTGCTGCATTTGTAGTCAAAGAGGTGTATCCCTGTTTTGTTCTGGGGAATGGAACTGAGACTTGGCTGGCTGGATTATGGATATTCTTCTAGACCTGAGACCTTTTTTTTAAATCTGCATGATTCAGCCCAGTCCATCATTCTTGTTTGAATTAGGTGCATGCTAAAAGTATTGGTGTACTGCCTCTAAGATAACTTAGTACCATTTTCTATCCCATTTTTGTGTTTCTTTATCAGCCCACTGGTGTTGGCAGTGACTACAGGAGCAGCTGTGCGTGTGTGCGTGTCAGGAGAAAGGAGCTGATGAGTGAGTCTGGTGATGGAGGCTTTGCCTACAGACTAAACCCCTTTTTCCTCTGTTCCTCTGCTACTGCTGCCACAGGGAATGTGTCTGTCAGCCTGGAGAGCTTTGCAGAGGTTCCTTCCCTAAGAGAAGGTGTTTCACTCCTGGCTGATCCGTGCCCTGGGGACAGGGTTTTGTCCCTCAGCCTGTGCAGTTTGTGTGGAGCAGGCAGTGCTGGCCTCCCTGGGATGTCCCACTGCTGAATTTGGTGGTGAAGGGCCAAGGTGGGCTGGCCCAGGCTCGTGTGGGTTTGTGTCTCTCCTCAGGGTGGCCCCGAATACTGAAAATGATCTTGCTTCAGCTGCCTGAGCCCCATCTGTTGAGTGGCTCTGTCACCAAATGGCTGCTGAGTGCTGGAAGGGTTTTTTCTGTCAGTCTAAGGCTGCATTTCTAATGTAAATCTGGTGTTGGACCTTGTGCTGTGTGGGATGAGAGGTGGCAGCTGAATGAATCCCCTCATTCCTGGAAAAATCTGCTCTGGAGGGGGAGCTTGAGAGGATGATGGCAGCTAAACACAGCCAGAATTTAGCACCTACAGAGGTGCTATTTGTGCCTTTAAAGACTTTCAATTCCTTGAATATAAAACCAGGAAGGTCATTTGGTGACCTTCTGTTTCATCCTGCCAGCTGAAGTGTATTTTTCCAGAGCTTGTGTGGATTTACAGAGTTTTCTGAGCAGGTTATTGTGCCCTTGCTGGGTTTGGTTCTGGTTACAGCCCTGCCATTATTTGAGTTGTTTCTGTGCCAGGGCAGCAGCAGCAGAGCTGTGCTGGAGCTCCCCTGCCTGCTCCTGCTGCTGCACTGCTCATTGGGGAGTACAGAAAATCAGGTTTTGTCTTCTAATGCTAAGGCAGATACCTTTATGATGGCACAGGTACCAAGCTCAGATTGAGAAAGGGTTTAAAATGTTCCCAAGTAACTTTTATACAGTCCCTTTTCCTGTAATTAATTATGGTCATCTCTTCCCTTTCCTTCAAAGCAGCTCAGCCTCCCATAGTTATAACAAATTCTTGTCCAGGTAGAAACAATACAAAGTTTGTCACTTCGGAGGCACTTCTCAATATCCACACATCAGATGCTGGATGGCTTCATGAAATGTGAAAGAAATGCAAAAGTTGTGTTAAATGAGGCAGAACAAAATGGGGAAAACCCACATGTCTGAGTGAGCAGCTCCATTTTTTTTCCCTTCTGCTCACTTAAGGTGTTATCCTTATTTTACCCCTGGCCTTTGTCCTTTTTATGGTGAGTAAATGCACTGGAAAAAAAGAAGTTCCTCAGGCTGTTCTGGTCACTCTGCAGGTGACAAAAGAGAGAATATTCAGCCCAGTGTGTGACTTTTTTTTAACCTGCAAATGGCTCTTCAGGGATTTTCCATGCCCTGATCCTCATCCAGAGGCTGTCTGCCATCATCAGTGTCTGTAAGGGCTGTATCATCAAGCCTCTCCCCTACCTGCCCTGCCTCCATCCCAGCATTGCAGGAGTGGGATTCATCGTCCCAGGCCCCACCAGCACCAAGGACACTGCAGCTGTGGGAGCTGGCCAGTGACTCCAGCTCATCCTGGGTGCATCTCACGCTGCCTGTGCTGCTGGCCCAGCATTCCAGGCACACCCTGAGCCCCTCATGCACCAGGAGCAGCTGAAGTGTCCCCAGTGGGACTGCACCAGTGTTCACTGTCACTCTGGGTGTGTGCTGCAGGTGCAGCTCCAGTCAGAGAACCTGGAGAATTGTTAGGGTTTGAGTCTTAGTGCTGGTGCTGGTGTCACTTGTGTGGCTGCAGGGATTGCTGAAGGAGCTCCACTCCAGCCTGGAGCAGTGTGGGAGCAGCAAGGCAACTGTCTCAACCCCCTGCAGGGGCTGTTGTCCCTGCTTAGCACTGGATCTGCTCTACAGCTTTCTCAGCTATGAGCAGCTTTTCCAAGGGATGGCACCATGGGAAAGGAGGGAACTCTTTTGTTGGACTTTACCATGATGCCTCCGTTGTTATCCCTCTGCTCCTGGATTCATCCTCTAAAATAACTGACCACTAACAGCCACCTCCTCACCTCTTCCCCTTCTCTCCCATTTCCATTCAGGTACAAAAACCCAGGCAGAGCATCATATTGATGTTTCTCTGTGTGCAACTGTCCGAAGTCCAGTCCTGGGCCAGCGAGTCCTGCCCAAGGAACCAGGACTTGTGCAACCCTCACTGCACCGCCAGGTTTCTCTTGCCGAGGTAGAAGTTTTTGGAGTAGGATAATCTTGTTTTCCTTCAAGCAGGGAGCACATCTGTATGTTTGAGGAGGCTGTACCCAGTGTGTGTGGGGTGCAGTCACTGGTGAGAATCAGGAAGCTTCCAAATCACACTATGCAATGAATGTTTGCTTCCTGGGACAAACAGGAATGGATTCAGCAAAATCCACACCAGCTGCAGCTCTGTAGTTCTAGATGCTGGTCTGGACTGAAAGCACAACTTGATTCATAAAGTCCGTCATGTGATATGAATGTAAAATGTCAAGGGGAAAAAATTACTGTTTTTCCCCTGAATTTAGCTATGAAGAATGATGTACTGAGCAGTTACTCTGTACAGAGTTACTCTGTGCAGAGCTGTTGGACTCATGGAAGGGTTTAATTAGCAGGGGGAGGAGCCACTGCTGACCTTGTTTATTAAGCCAGAACTAATTAACTCAAAGGGTCACATTTTCATTTCGGTGACTCCTGTGGTACAGAATTCTGAAATAGATCCATAGTACTTGAAAATACCTCAATTTTATTGATATTTTTCCAATTCTAACGGTTTCTGTTTTATTACAGAACACTTGCAAACCTAAACTCATTCTGAACTGATCAGATCATTCAGATCACTGAAGGTGTTTGCATGGCAGAGGGGCTCTGGTCTGGCAGACCCTGCCCTGGCTCTTCCTGCCTAGTGCTGCATTCCTGCCCTAGTCACAAACACTGAGCTCACACCCACTGTTGCAGGGTTTTAGTCTCTTGTCCTTTTTCCATCCCACTTTGAGTCCTCCCTCTTCTTCCTGAACATACAGTTAAATGTTTTCAGCTTTGAGCTGCTTGTGCTGTTTTTTTGGATACTGTGAAGGTGAGTAGGTGTCATTTTATGCAGTTGTGCCACGTATTTTATTTGTAATTAATCTCTGTTTGTCAGGTATTGATTTGTGGTTCCCATCATCAGGCCCAGCTGGCTTTGCTTAGAGCAGGATCCCACTTCCTGCATTTTCTCTTTCCTAAAAGCCTCATTTCTTCATTCTCCAGCTTCCGTTTGGGATGTAAACCTTGTGAAATAAAATGTAAGTTTACATTTCAAATACAAGCCTGTAAGTTGCTCATGCCTGCATGCTCCTTAAAATACTATTTTTTTCTGTATGAGGTTTTAAGATTCACAGCAGCATTTGCAAAACTTTAGTGGGTAACAGCCATTGTTTTAAAGACAGAAATTGTGTTAAGGAGGGGGATAAAAAACACAATGCCAAAAATTTCCAAAAAAAGGACAAAGGGATCATCTCTGCTTCTTGTTCCAGCTGTGCTTGAAAAGAAATGCCTGCTTGCATCCAGTGCTGGTGTCAGACAGCCCTGGGAACACGCAGGTACCTCACCTGAGGGCTTCCCTGCCCTTTCAGGAATTCCTGAAGCACTTCCTTGAGTAAACCTTGGACTAAATCCCACGGGAAGCCTGGAACCAAACAAACTCAGCCTCCCCCTCTCCTTTCTAACCTGGGGAAGCTGTGTGCACCCCCTTCCCAGCACCTCCCTGTGTAAGAGAAACAGGCCCAAAGTGAAAGCACTGGTGTATTTTCCCCACACCTTTCTCTGGAGGATCCAGGAGCCGCCAGGACGAGTCCCAGAACTCCCTCAGCACCTGGAGTGCTGCTGGTGTCATGAACTGCTGGGCTGGTGCAGGTGACCTTCCCTGGGAGGGACAAGGCTGTGACTGAGAGCTGGAGTGAGGAGGTGGAACTGTGGCTCCTCTGTTCTGATGTAAGTCCAATCTTTGAAATTACCTGTACTATGGAATGGCTTCGTGCTGTACTCACAGAGCTACTCCAGAGTGATTCCAAATCCATTGCTGGAGTAGGAACTCTGGGTTAGGAACACGGGAAATAGGAAAGGTCTTGTTATTTTATAAATTTACAATCTGCCTGCTCAGATGGCTGCTCCTCATCTGCAAATGCTGTTTGTGGTGCAAATGGGCCCCTCAAAGATAGACCTGAGCTAAATCTCAGGGTCAGAGAATAGCAGAGCCGTGGTGTTGTCAGTGTAGCAGGAGGGTTTAGCTCCCTCCCAGAAAAGCCAGGGGGCTTCACACACTGACAAATGGGGCTGGAGCAGAACCCCAACTGCCGGGGCTGCTGTGGGTCAGGGGAGCCTTTTGGGAGCTCCTCTGGGGCAGGATCAGCACTGCCATTCCCCATGGAGCTGACAGAATTGGGACACAGCAGCACTGCCCTGGAGAGGTTTGCAACTGCACCCAGCTGCTTTTTAGGAACCCAGCATGGCCTGGGGCTGGCAGTTGTTCCAGTCAGAACGGGTGGCCTAATACACATCCCTCCCCACTCATTCAATGGGAAGTAATTACTTTGCAAGGAATGTCACACCAGATTGCTGCCCACCTTTGGGGTGTTGTGTTCAGGAGTTTTATGCTGCTGCTGCTGGCATTGAGACTTTTGATATCAAATGGGTTTTTACAAAAGCCTTGGATACTAATTTTTACTGTCGAACCAATGCTCTGACTATGCTGATGCTCTGTGGAGTTTCATTGGCATTTTCCAAGTGTTTGTACAGTTTCTACAGCTGAATATCCTGTATGTTCTGCTTTGTTGTTTTTTATTATGGTTTATACTGCACAGCAGGCAAGGACTGCATTAAAACCATTTTTGGCTAATTCATTAGACTTGTGAATGGTTATTTCCTATGCTTGGGCTAAACATTCTCTCTCTGGAAGTGTTACATAACTTTAATTAACTGGAATTACTGCTTGTAACAGAAATGGTTCTTAGTCTATGACAAAAAGATTCATTGGTGTGGGCAGCCCACACCTCAGCACTCCACTCACCCGATGAGAGGTAAGGACACTGCCTTGAGACAACATTCCCTAATCCTGCAATTGTAGAATATGCAGATATTTTAAAATAATGGTTTCTGTTGTATTTATGGATCTCTCCAAAGTTACAGTAAGGGGAGGTACTGGCCAGCTGGGTATGGTGTACTTGATGCCAGGGGATTTAAAGAAATAAGGGATTTGGCTGCAGATTGATGTTTAATGTGACCCCAAACAATGAGTGCCCTGAGACTTGGGAAAGGCTGCTGAGCTCTGAGGGCCATGTTTGTCTTCTGGCTCTGGTGCTCTGTGAGCAGGACTTGCAATCAAGTTCCAGCTTTTTGCTGCTGTGTTCTGCCATTTAAAGGGTTGGTGAGACTGATCCAGCCACAACTTTTGTCTCGTAGAACTGCTGAGTTCTGTATGTGTAGAATTTCCAGAGGCAGTGCTGCTCCCACCCCCAATTCCCACCCAGTTTGCACCTGTGCTGCAACAGGAATCTTCTTGATTCGGGACCCTGGAGCAAGACAACCAGGGGTGTTTCACTATTTGAGAATAATGTTTGCAGAGCAAAATTTCAAGAGTTGTAGTTTTGGTTCTTGGCCACCAGCCAAAGACCAAAAATCCATGTGGCTGCTCAGGAGGACCTTGAGAGCCAAGTGCACCCTGAAATGTGGCTGGAGTGATGCCAAGTGACCCTAGAAATGAAGGACACTCTCTTGGGGTTTAGTTGGGTTTATTTTGCTCTTGCAGGCGGCCATATACAGGCTAGAGAAGAATAAATAGGTTAAAAAGCAGAGTGTGGCAATTATAGAACCCCAACATGGAGATGCTTGACCGTGTAACCAGAGTGCTTTGTCACTGTACCTGATCCCTGTTCAGGCCAGCACTAACCTAAGTTAGTTGGCCAAAAAGGTTTTTAGACATGCCCTCGACCAACTCAATAGTAATAAAATGTAAAAAAAACCCTCTTGTAATGCCAGAGTCATATCCAGTTGTTCCAAGACTGTCAGTCTGTCCCAAAATACTTCTGTCCAAAGTGCGTTGGTGCAACAGGATGCACTTCTGTAGTTAAAATGGTGATTTCTGGGAATTCCTGGATGATGGATTTGGCACCTTGGAAGAGACAGCAAAGGCAATAATGACTACAGTGCTTCAGCCCACATCAAACTGTGATCAGCAGCATTCCAAAAGTCAGTCAGGCTCTGTGCTTGTCTCCTCTTCCTGCCCCTGCCTTAGCTAACTATCTATGAGGAAAACTGACTGCAGGGAATTGCTTTTTTGGGGTTTTCTTCTTTGAAATTGCCTTTCCCATACACCCATACTCCCAATTAAAGTGGTTACAGGCTGCTCTGCAGTTCATTGATTTTTCTGATAGCAGTTTCTGCCACAGCCAATTTCTAATGCAACACACAAGATCCTCCCAGGGAAGCAAATGTTCCTCATTTAGGTCCCCTTTTACCTTTAACCTGCAGCCAGGCCAGTTCTGTAGTTCTTTCAGCTCCCACTCCTGGTGTTCTGGTGCTGGACCAACCCACACATTCCATAGTCTAGCACAGCAGCTGGCCTGGCACTGTTTTGTGAGCCATGGACCTGGCAGTGCTGCAAACTCCTGCTTTTAGGAACACTCTCCCATTTGCAGTTTTGCCATTCAGTCCCTTCCTCACTGCCCACACCAAACATGGCGCTGTTTGCTCAGTTTTACAATTCAGCCAAAAAAAACCCCAAACCTGCTCTGACAAAGCGATGCTGCCATGGCAGAGGCACAGCTCTGCCCTGCCTGTCCCCTGTGTGACTGATGTCACTGTCCCCAGCAGACACAGCTGTGCTCACTCACCGTGAGGTGTGGAGAAGAGGCTGAGCAGGATGATGACACTGGGCTGGACCCCGTGTTCCACGAGCACTTTGACAGCCTCGATGACCGTGTTCCCAGTACCTGCGAGGGCAAAGAGGGGCAGAGGGTTTAGGAGTTTTGCCCTGGTTGATGAACTTGTCCCAAGCTGTCTGAGAATACCTGTGGTAGTTGGTGTGACTGAATGGTGACTCTGTCCTTTCCCAATGAAAAGGTATCACCTCTGCATGTACTCCTTGTTCTCCTAATGGCAGAACTTGGAGTGCACAAGTAACATCATCCCAACCATCTCCTTAAAATATTAATCTAGAAATGTCTCAGAATAGAATAAGAAAAATACTGTTTGAGTCTTTTCCCATGGCAAAATTCATATAATTAAATTTACATCAAATCTTAATCTCAGCCTTTCTCCCAAAAGCAGCCATGCCCAAACAATTTGCTGTGCATTCACACTGGTACAGCTGAGTAATGTGTGTCCTGGCACAGCCCGATTAATTCCCTCCTCTGTCACCTGTGTCCTGGCACAGCCCGATCAGTTCTCTGCTCTGTCCCATAACCAAGCAGAAAACCCAATCAGAGCCCCAGCACGTGGCTGTTTTCAGTCCGTGCCGGCGCTCAGCGCCCAGAGGAGCTGCCTGGCCATGCTGGGGCAGACACTCACTCAGGATCGGGTACATGAGCAGCACTTTCCTCCTGTAGATGTCTGGGGGGAACTTGGCGTAGTACACCTTGGCTCGCTGCGTCTCCTCGTCGCTCTGGATCAGGATTTTCCCGATGCGGATGGATCGGCAGCAGTCCCGCAGGCCCTGCTCCATCGCCTCCCCTGCACGGGGCAGCACAGACACAGCAGCACATGTGACACTGGGAAAGGGCTCGGGGCAAGGGGCTGCAGGGAAAGGGACAGTCCCAAAGAGACCCCAGAGGGACAGTCCCAAAGAGACCCCAGAGGGACAGTCCCAAAGAGTCCCCAGATGGACAGTTCCAAAGGAACAGTCCCAGATGGACAGTTCTCAAAGGGACAGTCCCCAGATGGAGATTCCCAAATGGGAATCTCATGTCCCCCCAAACTGTCCTCCCAAAGGGACAGTCCCCAAACAGACAGTCCCAAAGGAATAGTCCCAAACAGACAGCCCCCAAATAGACAATCCCCAAAGGGACAGTCCCACCCCCGTGCTGGTGGATGGTTCTAAGCATTAAACACCTGAAGCTCTTTCCCTTTTCCCTCTGTTCACAGCAAACCGAGTCTCCTCGGTGCTGCCGAGCCCTGGGTTTGGTCTCCCAGCGGTGCTGAGCTCTCACAGGACAGAGCTGGGAAGGTCAGAAGGGGCGGGTGGGGTTTGGGGACATCCCGGTGACAGAGGTGGGGCAGTGTGGGGCTGCTGGGTTTGCCAGCACAGACCCAAAGGTTTGCCCAGCACTGGGCACTGGCAGGGACTCTGCCCCCACAGAGCGTGGCTGGGTGGGGCCCTGGCCCTGGGCACGAGTGGGAAACGGGGGAGGGCACTTGGCCCCTCACAGGGAACAGCTGCCAGGGAAGGGCCACAGGAGATCTGTTCCAGCCATTCGTCTCCTTAAAGGTTAATGGGAGATATTCCTGCATATTCTGTTATCAAGGATGCCTAAGAGAGAATTTGGGTAAACCTGTTGTTGCACATCTTTGAAAGGAAGTTGCTTCCAGGTTTCCAAAGCATTTAATGTGTGTCCTTCAGCAGCCAGCACCACCTACCACTTCTCATGATGCTGACCCCGCAGTTTCCCTTTTCGAATCGGACTCCTTCATACTTGTGTCCTGTGAGGAAAGAAACCAGGGCTGAGAGGCAGTGGCTGCTCCCTTCTGCGCCCTCTCTGAACAGAGAGGAGCTGGTCCTGGATCTGTCACTGACTGAGGGGAACAGATGTGACACCAATGCTCAAGAGGTGAAGCAGCTGCTGTTTGACACAAAAAGGAGCACAGGTAAGGGATGGTGCCTCCTGGGTGGGTGCCTGAACTCCATCTGGTTCCACAGTTGAGGATTTGCAGTCCATCATTTCTCTAAGTGTTAAGTAAAGCCACACCAATGCTTTACTGCAGAGTGGGAGTGTCACCCTGCAGGAATGTTCTCAGGGGGAACAGGACTCAGCTGGTGCACATCTCACAGGTGTGCTCTGGGTCACACCATGGAGCTGAGCAGTTCCCCCAACCTGCTGATGAACTCTCAGCTGCCTCTGAGTACTGCACACCTGAGTATCTGTAACCTTAGAGATCTTTACAGCTGACAGGAGGAACCACAGCTACTGCAATGCTTTTCTCTAGTGCCAGCATAGCCACTTTGCATTTCCTGCTCATCCTCACTCCCAGCTGGCCCCAGTTGCAGGGCCAGATTTAGGCTGGCAAGGCAAAGCTGCTTGTGCCAAGTACTTTTTCCTTAATGGGCATGTGAAATGTCATCAGTTTTAGCTCAAGGCTGTTGTGTTGGCAGGTGAATTGATATTGCACATACACTGCTACATTTTCACCATGGTTTTGCAAGATCACTGTAATCTTTAGTGAAATGACAGTGTTGACTGTTTTGCTCAGTTGTGATGTTATGTGCCTTGTAGCTTGTTAAACAGGGACAGTCACTCTGCCCTGCTCAGAGCTCCCCAGGGAATGCTCACTGCACCGAGTCTGTCAGAGTTCAAAGACCAGCTGGATGTTGCAGGGTTCAGTTTTAGGCAGTTCTCTGAGGAGCAGGGAATTAGATTCAATGATCCTCTGAGTCCCTTCCAGAAGCTCAGGATATTCTGTAACTCTAATAATAATTGTAATAATTCTATGTATTTTGATATCAGTTCCACTTCCAGTCCTACCCAGGCCAGGGTTGATTTCCCACATACCTGTTGGAGTGGTCACAGTACATTCTGTGTAGGGCAGTTGATTCAGTCCCTCTTCAACCACGAGTCTGATCTGTGGAACCAAAGGGAGGGATTATTAAAGGCATTATTATCTCTGGAGATAAGGCACTACATGGCAGTAG